TATATGTATATGTATATGTATATGTATAAGCATATATAAACATGGATCTCTATATAAAGTCTTCAGATGTATTGGTCTTATATAGAATTGCACAATTATTCATTTTACTAAATAATAGGATTATACATCTCCAATGTAGAAGCTTTATAACCTGGTTCAAGAAATATTGTGATAAATAATGCTTATCTCAGTAAAAATGAGATATTAGAGGCACATGTCTATAAGACAGAGGTTCTACCAGTCTTAAGACCATCTTACACTGAAGAATTTACACATATTTATACACACAGGAAGAAACCCTGAAACTGAAAACAACAGAACTATATGAAATACAAAATACTGTTAAAGGAAAAAATATAAACAATATCCACACTTCTAACTAGGTCCCAACTGTCACACTCCTGAAAATTCTTACGTTTTGTCTAAATTTATGTAAATAGTTCCATATGTTACATGATGACTACAAGAGGTACAGGGGCTCTGATTATCAGAAAAATACCAATGCTACTTACTGCAATTGTTTCTTTAGAAAACTTAGCTGTTAAAACTAGCCAAGTCATGAGTTTGTTGTTCTGTGTATTAAAACAGATCCCCTGTCGATCCCTGCCCCCACCCCCCCCTGCCCCATTGCTTAAGAACACAGACCCTGGAGCCATATTGCTGGAATCAAACCCTGGCTTTATCATTTCCTCATGTGGTTTTCTGATTCCTCACCTATAAAACAGACATGGTAATGGAATCTTTCTCATGTGATAACCGTGAAGATTAAATGAATTAATATATGCAAAGTGCTTAGAATACTGTTTGTCAAACAGTAAACCCTGCATGTTCTGGTTCTTATTACTGCTTTCAATAAGTAGTTTTTAACTGCACACAGACACATTGTAAATCATTTCCCAGTGAGTGTTTAACTCCCATGCACTATAGGGAGACCAAAAAACAATAAATGGTGGTCATCAAATGGAGATACTATAGCACTCTCTTATAACATATTTTAGATGAAAAAATGCTTAATCTTTGCCAACAATGTTTCATCGGCATCAGAAGAGCCACATAATCAGATTTAACCAGGCAAAATGAAATTATTGAAACCTGATGCTCCTGCAGTATTAACAAAAAAAAAAAGATGATCTAAGATTTAATAAATGAAACCTTCTCGGTTTTAGTGACTTGCTAAGAAGCTCGGAGTACTTTACAAATATTCTAATTAACCTTTGGCATATTCATTGAAATAAGAGGCATTCACTGCTTCTATTTTTTTTAATATGTATTATTTAAAATGATTTAGCAGGCTGAGACTACAGAAGATTTAGAAGTGCAAAAGTATCCAGACTATCATTCAAACAGTTCCATTTAAGAATTATTAAGACTTGTGGGGTGCCTGGGAGGCTCAGTTGGTTAAGCATCCGACTTCAGCTCGGGTCATAATCTCACAGTCTGTGAGTTTGAGCCCCATGTTGGGTTCTGTGCTGACAGTTCAGAGCCTGGAGCCTGTTTCAGATTCTGTATTTCCCTCTCTCTCTGCCCCTCCCCTGCTCATGCTTGGTCTCGGTCTCAAAAATAAATAAAAACATTGAAAAAAATAAAAATAAATTTAAAAAAAAGAATTATTAAGACTTGTGTCTTAAAAATGGAAAATGTATTAAAAAGGAATAAATCTAATGGCTATCAAAATGGTACTTTTTGACCTAATAAAAAATAAACATTACAAAACAGGGTATGACAATGGCCAGAACTCGGGGGTAAAGAGGAAAGAGATCCTAATTCTGTGCTTGTTCTTTCACTAACTAAATGTGACCTTCTGTGTGTCTCCAAAGTCAGGACCTGAGTTAAATAATACAAAGGAGTTGGTCCAGAGAGTAGAACATGGAGGTTAAAGAATCCTGAAGGCAAACTGTGCCAATCATGCAGTTCTTCTTGTAGATTTCCAGTGGTAGAAAACTGACTGTGTCCTAAGGTGTTAGGGCCAACTACAGATATTTCTAGCAGTTGAAAAGGTTTTTATGTAGCCACATTTTGGGTCTTCCCATATCTCTAAGCTCCCCAGCTTCTCAAATAGTCTACAATTCCAAATGTGGAATACAATGGAGCCCCATAACAGCAAAATTGCTAAATGATGAAAGAGAATTTTAAATGGAAGCAGAAGGGTGCTATTCTCTGCTACATTTTGTTTACCATCATTAAGCACCAGCGAGAATAACAAGAGGGGGTTAGAGGAATTGTAGAATGTTTCCTGTACCTTCAACTTGACCAAGTGCTCTACCAAATGGTAGTTTTCTTACTGAGAAGAAGGTTTTGCCTTCGATGCTTCAAAGGAGTCCATGCCAGCTAGACTTCCCCTCTAGCACCCCAGGGACTTCATATCAGGAATAACCTTCTACTCTGAGAAGGAAGAAGTAGTTGTGGTTGAATTAGATCCATGACCTCTGGCTCCATAGAGAAGACTACTCATATTGTGGTATGAAGAGCATGCTAACTTAGGGAACATTGTGTTACCAAGGTGTGACGAGATAAGAAAAGAAATAAAGAGTTTATAAGTTGTGTAGTTCACGGATATTGTGATGGCACCAAGTACATGATCAGCAGATACTTGTCCTTGAGGGCTGTTGAGTGCTGTTAATAAGCCACATGTTTTACAAGCTGTATGCTAATCACAAGTAGTAAGACCACAGATAGGTCTGTCATGTATTGAAAAGTTAGACAACCCCCACGCAGATAATTTGAGAACCACACCTGATAAGGCTCAATAACAGGCTTGTAGGTTTTGAGTTGAATCTTTTCATCTCCTTCCATGATCTTCAACTCCTAGGCTCCCAACACTTGTCCATTTACCATAAATGAACCAATCATTTACTTTGTTTTGTCCTCAACTTCCCTAGGCTAAAAATCCAGTTTTCTATTCACAACATCCATTTTTAATAAAATTTAAACATGATAAAAAAAATAGATGTTTTATGGGATTTTTTTATATGGAGGCTGACTCCAAGTTTGTGTTAACATGAAACAAAATAGCAAGCTACTTCAGAGAATAATATGAGTTTATGAATTTAAGCTATATTGTCATATGTAGAGCAAATGAAATTAAATTCATTCTCAGAAGAAATTTTGTAATAAGGATATCCACCTTCCCAAGATCATTACAGTCCAGTGGAAAGAACATTTAATTTAAGATGTTGGGAGTCCTGGGTTCCAGTATCAGCCCTGACACTAACTAGTTCTGTGACTTTCATGAAGTCTCTAAATCTTCTACATCAAAATTTTCTCCTCTCTGAAAATGGCGGTTTGAATGAGCCAATTTCTAAAGTCTCTGACAACTTTAAAATTTCATACTTCTAAGAAAATTATTTTCCCTTAAAGTAGTTCCCTGACGGAGGAATAATTTTCCCAGATGTGTATTTACTGCCGAAAGACAGACTGACCTCCCTGCACTCCTTTGAGTTGCTCTTTATTGTAAATTTAGCATTATCTCTTTCTTAGGGGTTGAAATCATCCAACAAATGAGGCATTGACCCTATTCCCAAAAAGCATGCCTTTGTCCTGGAGACATGAGCTCCAGTTTGCAGATATCTCTGGGGTTGAGGAGTAATTCGCAGGGGCCTAATCGTGATCGAATGGCTTCCATAAAATACCAGTATCTATAAGGTACTGTTTATTGAATTGTTGTTTGTCTCACAGGACGTTTCTCAGGGGGGATCTTCAAATGCCTAACAATCCAAAATAAAGCCATCTGTCCTCCCTTAACTCATAAAGCCTACAGCATTAACCCAGGTCCTAAATAGAGTTAGGAATTAAGTGAGCCCCCAGGACCACTTGAGCATGAATAACCACGCCAGAGCTGATTCCACAGGTATTCCATTTATTGCTTATGGCCCCAAATCATGTTTTAAGCTTCTCTGCACTCCTGAGATGATATACCCTATGCTTGCCAAAGATGCTGTCTAGTGTGTAGGGGCTGGAATTAGCTCAGAATTATCAGTAATTCCCATAATGTCTTTCATTTTCAAAACAAATGGAGGGGAGTGTTGATGCAAATGAAGACAAATTCAGGAAAAAAATTGGAAAAATATGGAAATTACAGAGTAAAATGTAAAACGTCTAATCATAGATCATTATTCAAAAGAATAGAAAATCCATATCCAAGCAATATGAAAACTAGGACAGTATATTTTAACAAAGAAAGACAATGAGATAATGTAACGTATAGATGCATATATCATATGCATCATATTTATGGTTTATTATTGAATCTATCAAAAAGCTGAATAAGGGAAAAGACAAAATCATAGAACACTTTGAAATGAAATATTCAGTCCTCATTTTCTAAAATATAGTTGCAATTAAAATTGAATACGTACATAAAAAGCATATAAATACAGCACAGTTTCCTGATCTGAATTTCAACTTGAAAAGAACATTTATATTCTAAGTTTTCTAGAAAAGATAAGAGTGAATGGCAGTTCTTTCATAAATAAAGCAGCGAAAGCATGTGATTTATCTCAAGGCTGTCCCCAGCAAAGGCATGCTGTCAGGTATTGAGAGGGACATACCAGAAAGCAGTAAGACAATGCCAACTGAAGGTAAGTAGATGAAGGGGAATGGAGTAAGTAGAGTCCTGGAGTTAGCTAGTCACTCCTTGGCCCAGTGGGCCTTGAAGATCTGTTCTTAGTGACCACATTTCATTAGGCAAATGCTGTCATTGATAACAGTGTTCTTTCTTCCCCAACTGAAAGCAGCAAAAGGATTCTGAGCCAATGTCTTACATCGTTAATTGGCAAGATCCCCTTTTCCTTCAATGGTTGCCTCAGTGCTTCCAATGTTTCCCTGTAGTGAATTGGACTCGGCTCAACTACCAAACTGAAGTCCAAGGATCATCAACATTGGCTTCCTATGTGAAAAGGAAGAATCCCTATACTATTTGGACCACTGGGATTTTGAATGGCTTTAGGATGCATATTCTCAGAGCTCTTTTGCTGGGGGGGGTGTGCTTTCTTTACCTGCAGAAATCAAAGATATCTACCTATGAGAAGATGTGGGCATTTATGAGCAGCAGGCAGCAGACAGCCCTGGTAAAAAACAGTGATGAAGGGATCCAACGAGTACTCACCACTGACTATGCCCTATTGATGGAGTCCACCAGCATTGAGTATGTGACGCAGAGAAATTGCAACCTCACTCAGATTGGGGGCCTCATTGACTCCAAAGGTTATGGAGTGGGAACACCTATCGGTAAGAGAGGCAAGGCATCAGCCAAGACTGAGATGGGCAATGTCAATTATGAAGGATAGAAGGGAATAAACTCAGAGATACCTACTCCACACTCTGAGAAGTCCTACAATGCCTTTAGTGGACCAATAAATAAGGGAAATACTCATGTAGATCAGAGGCATGTTTTGAACTGACCATTCCCAGATATTTAACTTAATAAACTTTCAATCCACATTTCTTTTGAGTTCTGCCACTAGATATTTGTTTGAATATATAGACTGTATTATTTTTACCTTCAAAAAATATTTTTTAGACAAGGAACAACTCTTCCCTTCATTTATATAAATTTTTTAATTAATTTATTTATTTGGGAAGGGGGGGTGGAGGTGCAGAAAGAGAGGGAGAGAGAGAATCCGAAGCAGGCTCCAAGATGTCAGTGCAGAGCTTGACACGGGGCTCAAACCAACAAACAGTGAGATCATTACATGAGCTGAAATCAAGAGTCAGATGCTCAACAGACGGAGCCAGCCAGGTGCCCTGCTCAAAAAATATCTTTAAAAGAAAATCTTCCTGATTAATCCTCTTGACATTATTTCCTTCAGTACCTATACATGCCTATATAATTTTTCTATCTTAAATTATATTAGAATATAATGAAATTAATTATGCATGTAGATGATAAAAATTGAAAGGCTAAAGTTCCATGTCAATAGAAGTAAAATGAAAACTATATCTATAAAAGAAAAAAGTTAAAGATTAACTTATAGTTTTTTTCTGGCAATGTGTTAGATACAGTCAAGGATAACTAAAACCTCCAAATATTCCTATTTCTACATTTTGTGCTACTGCTTTCTCTAGGGATATTATTGCCTTGTCGGCATACAGACACATACAGCAAGGTTTTCTTGTGTGTCTAACATATAGAACTATATTCTATGCTTAAAGGACGATTATGGATTCCTCTCTATAGAAAAGTGTATTGGATAATGTTCGGGAATGGTGGTAATATGCTTTTCTTGAATGAGTCATTAGTAATTTTGTGATAAGCATTCCAAATTTTTTTTAATGTTTACCTTATTTTTGAGAGAGACAGTATGAGTGGAGAAGGGAAGAGTGAGGGGGGAGACAAAAAATCAAAGCAGGCTCCAGACTCTGAGCTGTCAGCACAGAGCCCAACGTGGGGTTCAAGCCCACAAACCGTGAGATCATGACCTGAGCCAAAGTCAGATGCTTAACCAATGGAGCCACCCAGGTGCCCCATGATAAACATTCCAAAGAAGAGGAATCAGAGGCCATCTTAGACCACCGGGCTAGTCTAATAAGCAGAAATCTTGGTTACAGTCAAGTCATATGTCATATTATAAAGAATCCAAGGTAGATTAGATGTGCTTGTTTATAGATAGTATAACTTTTGTTTTTTGAAAGGGATTGTCCAGTCCAACCCTCAACATTAGACAGGGATCAAAAATTCAAATGCTTACAGAGGCCAAGCAGATATTATAATTGAATAAGCTTGTTTGCTTGAGGAAGCAATAGGGAATGTAGCAACTTTGGAAAATTAGAGACCGCATGACACATCTAAAGGGGGCACCTGCCTTCTAGGTTAGTCAATTGCACGTGTGAGAATTTGAACACAAGTATGTAGATATTCCATTTTTCATTAAAAAAAAACCCCAGATTTTAGGGGTGCCTGGGTGGCTCAGTTGGTTAAGCATCCGACACAGGTCATGATCTCATGGTTTGTGAAGTCAGGCCCTGTAGTGGGGATTCTCTTGGGATTCTCTGTCTCTCTCCCTTTCTCTCTGCCCCTCCTGCTCTCTTTCTCTGTCTCTCTCAAAATAAACAAACTTAAAAAAATGAATTGAAAAACTTAAAATTTCGGATTTTAAGTGGACTGTCCTAATATTAGGACATTTAGCCACAAATTCATTAAAAAAAAGAGAGACTAGGTATCCCATATTCAGCTTTTGATCAGTATTAATTTAATTAACCAGATAAAGATCAACTTTCTTTACATTTCAGCATGAATACAAACCATTTTACTCCCTGCTATCTGGTGTTAGAAATGTATGTTACGGAGAAATTAACTCTATTATTGTTACTAAGAATGTATTCCGAATAAATCTGCAGAATGATTTAGCTAAGGAAACTATAATACTTTCTTGTCTCTTTCTTTTCAATAACTTTCCCTGATGACAGTACTAATACTGCTAGTAAAGTGTATATTTGTGTTTCCCCAACTGGAAAACTCTCCTGTGATTAAGCCAACGTGTTCTGCAGGGGACTCAGTGGGATTGTTAGACATTAATTAAAAGAATACCGTGACTCTTTTTGAAAAAAGTCTATTTCCCAGCCAAGCTTTGTCACCTCATTTTTGATAACATGGGTGGGGGGAGTGAGGCAGATGCTATTTTTATATATTCCATAACTGCTGCCTTCAGGTAAATGGGCTGATAAATGGATAAGTCAGACAAAAACACGAGGAGTGGGTGCTTTTGCCCAAATCTCTCCAAATCAAGACCTTAAGACTGATTGCATTATATTCTGCATCTTCTCAGAGCAGTAATTGTGGTCTCCACCTAGAATTATGTTTAGATTAAATTATAGAGTTGAAAACCGCACTTTTCTCATTTTGTCTTCCACCCCAGAAGCCCACCTGACCACCTTTCAACTAGGCCTTGCTCACCAGATTTCCTGTCTGGCAATAATGATGGAAAATAACAATGGGTCTCACTCCTCCTGAGAATATTTGTACTTTACCATGAGACATTTCATGGGCATTTCTTCCAATGAACAGAATATAACACTACGGTTAAAATTTGGGGGTAGGGCAAATAGAAAGGAAGCAAGGGACTTCTTTCTGCAACAGTCCTGAATCAATGCAGCAATTTAAAAATTACTCTGGCCTCCTGTAAATGAGGCTGACCCTCTGATGAGTATCACTGTATTTTATATGATATGATATGATATGATATGATATGATATGATATGATATAGAGATTTGAATGTTCCAATTCAGTCTACTTTTTGCCAATCTCACCCATACTCTGATACACAAGATCCAAAGTTGAAGAGCCTTCCCCCCTCCCTAGATAAAGAGAAATACACTCCAGGAATTTTTCATACTGGTTATAAACCTGTCAGGCTTTTAAACCAAAAACAATGAAGGAATAATTGGAACAGATGGCAGACCTCAGAGAGAATACATCCCTTGGGAATACAGCTGTTGGATAAATTTGTGAGATGCTTCTTCTATGATGAATTGACTCTTTAAGAAAGCTCAGTTGCTATTCGGGAAGATCTGTGTGTGTGTGTATATATATATATATATATATATATATATATATATATATATATATATATATATATATATATATATATATATATATGTTTTTTCAAGTGACTTGTCATAAATCACTTCTCATGTCACTCAGTCCACTTAAGTAACAACAACAAAGAATGAAGCTTAAATATATTCAGATACAAAAAGTTCTCCACACACTTCAGTTCTTGCTCTCACTGACTCCCTGAAGGCTTCAGACTTTTTCCCATGGTCAAAGGTTGGCAAAGTCAGCTCAGTCATGACACAAGATTGAAGCCTTTGCTTCTTTGAGACTCTCAGGACAAAAGTTCTGGAAATGTGCTTCCTGAGGGATTTGAAATAAAGCTTCAAGAGAATGAGAGCAGTTATGGCTTAAACAGGTTACCAGGAGGCTGGAAATTACCCTCCTTAGAGAATAACTTTAAACGGAGATCCGATCCCCATCTGTCTGAATGTTTCAGGTATTGTGCAGCCTGAAGGCAGAAGGGGAGCACCAGTCAACATTTACTGAGGGCCCACTGTGCATACTGCTAGGATTACAGTGGCAACCCCTACCGTAAGAATCATTCTTAGGCTCTTCAAAGCATTTTATTATACATTGAAGCAAAGCTCTCCTGGTTTCACTTAATTGCTCACATGCTATGGGTATGTTAATGGTGCTAATTTGGACACTAACCATTATTCTGGGGGTGTTTAAGCAAGCGGCCAATATCTTTTAATTTGGTTTACAAGAGCCATTGTCTCACCAAAAATCCATTCTTTTAATTGACAAGCCACAATCTAACTCCAAAACATTTTGCTCTTCTTTTAAACTTGATTTTGACTACTGACAATGACTTTAGGAAGTCTTGGGAGGAAAGAAAGAAAAATGACAAATGCCACAATGTGAACCTTCTGTTTTTCCAACATAAAATATGCCATGGAACATAAGGTTTGTGTATGTGGAGGTTGAAGGCAGGAAGGGGGGCAGGCTGTGGAGTAGAGAAAACAGCTTTCCTGGAAATAACACTAGGTAAGAAGTAAGAGGAAATGAGTTAAATCCTTGCCTCTGCCAGTAACTAGTACTTTTACTCATGCTTTCACATCCTAAATTTCTTGGAGTCTAAAATACGTGGACTGGACTATATGATTTCTAGATCTCTTTTGGTTCTAAGATGACACATTTTTCTACTTCCTATCTTTTGCATTTTTTTTTAATTTCTAACAAAAAAGAACTTTAGAGTTTGCAAACAGAAAGAGCCAAGGTGTACTACCTTCCTAATGAGTAGAAGAAATGCTAACGAAAATTCTTAACATCCAAGGAAAAATTGAGTAAATGCATCTCACCATCTTTTAATCTCTTCCTTTGCATTAATTGGCATAGGAATCCAGTACTGGGCAAGCTATGGCTACAGACAGATGTCAGTACTTTTAACATAATTAAAAGTTTGATGACATTACTAGAAGTTTGAGTATAAAAAATATCAATGAAGTCCTTGCAAATTTTCCAAACATAACTGAATTTTGTAGAACCTTTGAAGTATCCAAAACCTAATCTTAATGGCATATTACTAAGTGTATTAGTCAGTATGGGCTAATTACTGTAACCAACATTTACTATTTTCAAATGGCTTACACAGTAAATGTTTCTTGACCTTGTCATGGTCCGACGTGGACTGAAAGAGAGACTTCTTCATGTAGTCATCCTGGGACCCAAACTCCTTCCAGTTGGTGGTTCCACTATCCCTAGTGACTTGAAGTCCTTTCCTTCCTACTGAATATTTGGGGAAAGGGAGAGAGAAACTAGAGAATCATGTTGGGAGAATGTGAAATAGGACTGGAAATAGTCCTATGTCACTTCAGCTCCTAATGGCTGGAAACTGATCACATCACCATACTGAATGAATTGTAAGGAAGACTGGGAAATGTCTAGCTGCTGCCCTAGGAAGAAGACAAGATGGTACAGGTGTTCATCTAGCCAGACTGTCAAAATATTAAACAACTGAGAAAAAATAGAATCTGAACAACGAAATCCCCGATGTGGGGAGAGATTTATGAAAAACTCACCAGAAGCAAGCGTATGTCACAGAATCCCCAGCTCAGCTTTTCCCTGTTTAAAAGGAACAGACAGCCTGGGCAAGAGTTAATCTCAGCATGTCAGCTATCCATTCTCCAATTATGTTGATCTTTCAAAATATAGAATTCAACTTGTGTGCCCTTTGCCAATCAATTTGTGGATTGGGATTTCCCAACAGCCATAACATAGTTACCTTTCAGACAATAATCCTTCTTGACATCTTCAACCCTTTGGTGACCAATATCCAAATGACATTCCTTACAGGCTCTCCTTACCGGGATAAAATCACTATCGCTATCCTTCAACTACAAGAGGAGGGCAAACTGCATATGATGAAAGAAAAGTGGTGGCGGGGAAATGGCTGCCCAGAGGAAGACAGCAAAGAGGCCAGTGCTCTGGGAGTAGAAAATATTGGGGGCATATTCATTGTTCTGGCTGCTGGACTGGTCCTCTCTGTATTTGTAGCCATTGGAGAATTTATATACAAATCACGGAAGAACAGTGATATTGAACAGGTGAGTCATCTCTTTCTAGGATTAGGTAGTTTTTAGTTTGTGTTATCTGTCTTAAGTTTGGGGGTTTTAAAGATGTCTGCCCTTTTTGTAACAGTCTATTGAATTAGATGCCCAGAAGAGCCATTTCTGAGTTAGAGCAAAGAGCTCTTGAATCCCTGCCAGGTGCTGCTGGCACTGCGGTGCCATCATTTATTAATGAGAAGAAGGAAGCGCCTTATATACTAAATCCAATTAGCCCTATTTGGAACAGCAGTGCAGAAATTCCAAACCCAGTTAATTTCTTGAACAGTTATTTGCTCTTAAGATAGAAATCCTCGATAAAGCAGGCAAGAAATAAATCCAAAATTGGAAAAGATATAAAAAGATCTTTGAGAGAAATGTTACCATCCTTTCTGGAAGTGTGGATGCTGAGCACATGTATGAATGCAAAGCAATTTACATAAAGATATAAATGCAGTATTTTGAAACTGAGCATTTACCTCTCCCAAAACATGATCTATAAAAAGGTAATTCATCAGGATTTTTTGGTCAGGAATATGATCAATAACACAGAATGACAATGAAATATATTAGAGACTTTATTTTTCCAGATTGTATTTAGGATCATAGTTGATTTCAACAGTCAACCATTTTTGCCTGTCACTTTTATTTTTGATGGAAATCACACCAGGAGCTCCTACCATTCTGTATAAGATGATTATATTAAAGATAATTCTTTCATAAGCATACTAGAATAAACAAAGTACAAACCTCATGCCCATCATAGTGCATTAGACCACCCATTCAATTTAAAATTATTGTTAGAATTTTGAGACTATAAACTATTAATAACATGGCTAGTTTAATGCTCAGCTGTCACTGTCTTGAAATTACTAATCATTTTTAAACAAGGGGTTCCACATTTTCCCTTTGTATTGGGCCCCACAAATTATGTAGCCAGTTCTGATTAATAATTTCACACCAGTCCCACCTCCTTTTAAGTGGAAACTCTCTTTCAGCTCCCAAAGCTGGGGATGATTGATTATAACTTGGTTTTATCATGATAATTTTCCCAAAATTACAAGGCAATTGTGAGAACATTAAACGCCCCTTTTTTAGATTTTTTTAGAGAAAACTATCTTTACTTAAAAGGGAAAATGGACTGTTCTGCTTTGTTTTAACTTTCAATTTGCTCTTGAGGTGTCTTGTTTTATGCAACTAACTTGAAAAATAAAAGCTTGTATATGTTATGCTTTTAATGTGCTTCTCATAATTGCCAGCTTCATTTGATTTAAATTTTCATTTAAACATTCATTTTTGCTTCTGATTTATTCATTTTTTTCTATATTTTTTTCTCATTTCTTTTTGCATGCAAGGCTTTTTGTTTCTTTTATGGACTGAAGTGTAAACAAACCCATCCAACCAACTCCACTTCTGGAACCACTTTATCTACGGATTTAGAATGTGGCAAATTAATTCGAGAGGAGAGAGGGATTCGGACACAGTCCTCAGTTCACACTGTGTAATCAGTTAAAAAAAAAAAAAGTGTGCCCAGTAGAAATTGTTTCTGCTAATTGGTATTGTTGATGATATCTGTATCTTTTAAGCATAAATAGCCATAATTCTTTATCCTTTCAAGTGACTCTAGACACTGAATTCAATGCACTGAAAACATGCACATTCTGTGTTGAAACCGAGGTGTATTAGGGGCATATAAACTTCAATATATGTGTATTTTCCAGAATCTGCTATACCATCAAGATAACGGTTATCTTAGTTCTATATTTATGTGTTAAAAATAAGCAAGTCTTTCTTCATGAAAAAGTAGATGTAGATTTTCAACAGTGCAAAGCATAAAAACAAAATGCTAGTATGGTGGAATTCTTTTTTATCTTTGTGGACCTTTTGTTTTTCTTTTTTTTTTAAACTCCTGTTTCCCTCTCCCTGTCCCTTCTGTTCTATGTAGATCCACATATTCAAACTACCCGAAACCCTAACTTTTGGTAGTAAGTCCATAACAACGTTGACGTTCAACTCAAATTGATTCCACTATTTAAAATGTATTATTTACACAAAGACTCAAGGTGTCTTATATTTTAAAAATTGAAAAACGTGATCCAGAAAATGTAAACTAAACTTGAACCCTCTGGCATCACAGAAGAGCATTAGCTATGCTGAACTTCACTTAGAAAGGCACAACTCAGTCGAAAATGATTCTTGGGTCGAAATTCATTAACATCAAGCTCTCACGTAACATTTACCTGACAACTCTCTGTACGTTCAGATCATAGTATGTTCAGAGTCTCCAAGGAACTGTGGTTTTTTTCATGCTGCAGACTATTTCTTGCAAGCTCCAGACAAACTCCTAAACTAGGAACTAACACATAGCATCTTCTATTTTCCACTGACTCACTTTCACTATGCATTGACGAACATCTTTTCACAAGATGTAATTTTATTCCTTTCCTACTCACCCAGCATAGAGTGGTTGTTCTCCTCACAATCTTTTCTGAGCATTAACACTTTCACACTCATTTCTTTGGATGCTTTGTCATTATCAATTCACTCCAAGTATATTAGGGAGAAGGGCAAGGAGGAGAAAATAAATAGAGGAAAGAATTTCCATACACATTAGTTACAGATCTCTAGATTTATTTTCCACCTGCATTCAAAATGTTGTAAATAATTCCCACTCTAACTCAGCTTGGTGACATAAGAAACCAACTGCATACTTAATTTGTTGTGATGGAGGATGTCTGCCTGCCCTCTGAGCTTCTTTTCCTCTTCACAGTGCATAGGGGAATTGAGGATGCCTTTCATCTTCCCCCAACATGGGATCAGTTGGTCTTTGTTCTCCTTAATGGGATTACCTTTTGACATGTGAAGTTAGCCCCAAAACATATTTCTCAGAATTAAAGATAAGCCATCTGTGCAATCATGTAGCATTTTGCCTTCTCTTTGCTTAGCTTTAAATGGGTTCCAATTTTTGAACCACAGGTCCCTCCAGTCAAAACTATATTTCTCCAGTAACGCATGTATAGGAAAGTTGACTCCTGCCCTGATTTTCTCAATCTTGCTTTCTTCTTTAAATAAATGTGCTTTTAAGAAAATATCTCTAAATTACACTAACATTTATCTACTGTTATTAAAGTGAAAGCAGCACACTTTGTCCTGGGTCAGAGTTTACATCTTCATAATCAATAGAGGCAAACATTGGAGTATTTTAGTATTCAGAATTTATTGATTCTGTATGTGGAAACCACAAATTACATGAGTTTATCTTCCCAGGGACTATTTAATAAATCAAAGATGCTACCAAAAAAGTTCAAGGGTGATTGATGAAGTTGAGATGATCAAGGGGTTAGCGATAACAAAATCTGCTTTTCTACAGAGACTCTCCTTTGAAAGTGTAATTCAGAGTTTGGGTAAACTTAATAGTTGTGTGCCACTTTAAGATGTATACTACCTATTTCTGATATTTATATCTTATTTTACAGTTTTCAAAATGTTTTGAAATGATACAGCATTACATTTAATCCATTCAACAATTTTATTTCAGCTTTACTAACAGAGAAATAAGCAGTCAGCAACCTGGAGTCCTAGAATTTAGAATTATAGGAGAATTTTCAAAATCAACCAAACTTAGGTGCAGGTTCTAGTACAGCCACATGCTGAATCACAGTAGACAAGTGACTGCATTTCTCAGAGCCTTTGTTTCTTAGTAGGTAATATTAGGACATAATTTCTCGGTCATAAGGTACCATTGACAAGTGTTATTCAAATTAGATTTTCTGGTCAAGGAACCCATGGAACACTACTCTAAACTTTCTTTACGGCATGATATCTCAGTGTTTTTAACATGTTATGATGCATTGGGAATTTTCAACAAGATTGGAAAGCATTCAGTATTTCCCAAACTTATTAGATAGCAGAATCTGTTTTTCCCCCGAAGTATCTTGACAGACCATTTTCTACAGATCATACTCAGGGAATGCTGGCTTGATGATATGTACCTCATCCAGTGTTATTGTACAAAACACATTAACCATGCCTGGCACATCGTTGCCATTCAGTAAACAATGGTATTGACGATTGGGGTAGTTTTTAATTTCTCTGAGCCCTAGTTTCCTCATTTGTAAAATGAAGATAATTTGTTGACCTATATTTGCTTTGAGAATTAAATGAAATTCTATAATGGTATTGGAAATAAGATCATTTATAAGAATTCTGTTAATAGATATTGGTTAACAGATATTAGCCCCTTATGGAGAAATTAGGTATTGCTATCTGGTCATGTGGCCAGTAAGTACAATTTATCATGCATCTTAATACACTGTCTGGAAAAGAGGTTTTCCAATTACAGGTTCAAACTCTCTCTCTAAAACCACTTTTCCTCACACAATCATTAAAAATCAAGGACAAGTTCATTGCACCCCAGGGAAGGACCCAAACTGACAACACATGAGGATCCAGTAGAAGTCATGAACCTCATCTCTAGAAATTCTTATTTGATTAGTCCGGAAGGAGGGCAGGACAATAGTTTTTTAAGGTAGTCGGTTGATTTTACTGTGCAGTAGTGATCTAAAGCATAATCTTATGTGTGTAATCAGCATTCAATAATTCATTGATGTCTGTTGATTGATTCCAGAGGTACGACCACTAATTCTAAGCCAAGATATACTCACATATTTGGCATTCAATATTCAATAAACCCTTTATAGAGAGAGTTCAAAAAGAAACTGCACATCTTTGAGATAAAAATTTCATTATATTCAATTGATGACCTTCATGTTTAGTTATAGTTGCTAGACCTACTCAAAATGATCAAATAGGTAGTTTAATTGGTCTCTGTGCCCTTTTTTCCCTTGAAGAACGTCTATTCATTTCAGAAACCAAGGCTCCTTACACTTCTTTTTCTTTTTATACATGCCCTAGACAACCAATACTTGACATCAAGTAAATGACTGCTGAAACCACAGTGACTCCACCAGGGGCCATTGCATTTTAAGTGAAATTTAGAA